TCCCTGGACAATGTTTCAGAATGTGCTAGACTAGGCCATGGGCAAATCTGTTAACAAATTTACCAGATCCTTATCAGACAAAATTTAGAAAAGCTTAGCTAGATAATACTTGAACATGTACAGCGAAGCACCTTCATGCACTTAGACTAGCACGCTGGTAATTATTGTTAAAAGAAGGGATTGTGTTCTTTATGTCTTGTTTCCATGGTCCTCAGAGGGACTTCATTAAAGGGAAGCTTTGTAGGAAGGAAGGGCTAACATTATCAGACAATTTTCTCTAAGGAAATAGGATTCAACTTTTTTTCTTTAGGTTTTTACTTATGGTACATGCACTTGCTAGAGAAAGACGGAGGGAAAGTGAGAAATCATCCCCCATGGAGATGGCCACACTGTAATCCTTTCTCCTCCATTCTCCTCTCTGGATTTTGGACTTGCACACATGTGTACCTGGCATTATTTACAAGCCACCAGGTCTAGGACTTGAGCCACAGTCACCCATGTGGGAGCTTAGCTACTTAACCACTATGCTACCTGTTGGTTCCAGGATTAGACTATGAGCCAAATCTGTTATATGAATAGAGCAACTGTGTTTTATGACCACAAAGTTTTTTTGTGAGTAGGGATATTCATATAAATATTAAATGAATACACATCAGATATTAAATAGTATATATTGTGATCTCCATTTGGCAGTTGAGGAAACTTAGGCTTAGAGAAACCAAGGAATATGCAATGCCCAAGTCATAGATCTGATGGAAACCCAGAATTGTTCTCCATGTTTTAATGCCAAAGTCTATGTATGTGGCTGTAGCCAGCAAGTTTTAAGTCTAACACGGTAATGAGGCACCATAATGTATCATGGTGTGACGAGTATGTGTGTATGCACACGTGCATGCGCGCACACACCTTTGTCTTACTCTCTGATGTCATTCTCCACCTTTTTTTTTTGCCTACTTCTTGTGACACTGTGGTCCAGCGTCATACAGTGACGCCCTTTCATGGTGACCACACCTTATTTATTGAAAAGTTTTATGCCTTCTCTTCAATTTAAAATAGTAAACTTATACTTCTTTAAGAAGTCCTAATTTTTTAAAAAATTTTATTTCTTTCAGCAGAGAGAGACAGAGAGAGGCACCTCCAATAGAGCCCTTGGACCATGATCTACCCCAAGTCCCAGCCAGCCTGGGTCACGAGCCCAAGCATGTGCATTGTGCTCTGGGAGGTTCTTGGTGTGCAGTCAGGACTTTTCCCCATGTGGGTCTAGTTATATTACTACTGCACAGCCTCCCATTTTTGTTGTCGTTGCTGTTAGCAATTTATGATGCTACTCAGTCAAATTATCCCCCACTCACAATGTAAGTAGTCATTAGAGATAATTATCTAAATAAAAATAAGCCTTATAAAAATATTACTATGACTTAAGTTGGTCACAGCATGTTGAGAAAGGAGGCAAGCAACAGGCAGATACCAGTCACCAGGTATTAATTTAGAACTTGCTGATGGCCAAGTAAGGTTGTGAACAGTATGGTCTATCCCAGCCCTTACAAAGGAGAGGGAAGACCTCCTTACTTCTTGGTGGGTATGAAGCATTTAGTGTGAAAGTAAGTGTGGCTAGGAAAGTGAGACCAGGTAGATGACTGGTAGGATCACTTTGCTGCCTGACCCTGTCAGGTGAGCCCTGACCACTTAGTCTTTGGACAGAGGTCTGCAATAAGAAGCTACTTCAGTCTTCAGTATTCTGGCTGGCAATGTTGTGGAAAGTGGCCGAGAATGACACTGAGTCTGGATTCGGCTGGCTGACTTGTCGCTTGTACTCCTGCTCTATAGAGTTCTGATTCATCATGCCCTGCAGAAACTGAGTCCTTTGTATTGTGGTTGGAGCTTTAGGTAAGGATAGAAGGTGCCAGATGACTGGAGCCTTGGCGCTAGTCCTTGGGTCACAGGAGATGGTGCTGTTTTACAATCTTCTCCTAGAGGTCTTCCGGAGCTGGCATTTAATGCCATCACACTTAATGAGTTTGGACATCGAAAAGGTAGTAGTTTCCCCCTACTCTCTTCTTTTCTCTGTGTGTTCTGAGTAGCTTTTCTTTTCAGTTGTCACTGATTCAGTTTTTCTTGCTGTGATTTTGGATGAAAATAAATTCCACCCATTTGACCTTCTTCTTACCCCCCACCCCCGCCTTCTGTCTGGACATGGTGGCTTGAAAAGCACACGGGGCACATGCTGCATGTGTCCAAAATACTGAAAAGGAGGGAGAAATGGAAGAAAAAGGATTGTGGCATGACCATGCCCCTTGGGTGTGAGGGGGTTCTCTCTCTCTCTCTCTCTCTTTCTGGTGAGTGTACCCATTTGCAAGTTAGAAGAAGAAAGAGCAAGAAGGAGAATATCACCTCCAATCTGACTACCTTTCCTTATTGTACAGTTGCAGGGAAGAAAGAGGGATGATGAGGAGGAATTGAGTTTGAGTTGAAATGATTGTGTCTGAGGGGGATGTATATACTTTTAGCCAACATTTTCCAATTCACATTTTAGCCTTCATGAATGTCTTAGTCCATTTTTGCTTTGCTAACAGAAGTACCCAAGACTGGGTGATTTATTAAAGAAAATAGAGGTTTATTTGCAAAGCTCATGATTCTGGTGCCTGGAAAGTCCAAAGATACCGTAAAGTGACAGAAGGCAGAACTTTTCAGCAGAGCAAAGCGTGGTCTGTTCCTACGTTTCTCTCTTGTTCTGATCTTATTCCCTTAGTTTATAAACCTCAAGAACTCAATCACAGGGGCCCCACAGTTAAGACTTTATCACAATGACCTTACCTAAGGGCCCCACCTAGAACACCATGAAGGGGTTACATTTTCACTAAATACCTTCAATGTCGCAATGCCCAAGCATAGACATTTTGGGGGATGTCCAGTCACAACTTACTAAGAGCAAATTCCAAAACATGAGCTTTTAAAGGTGACAAACCATTATCCAAGCAATAATATTGACCAAGAACCAATAACTGTCCTTGAAGAGTTCTCATTTAATTTTCCACAGAGGCTATTTGCTGGTAGTTCTACTATAGAATAAAGTCTGTACATGGTTATATTATGTGTCATCATTGGATGAAATGTTTAAGATCCAAGAGAATGAGGTCTAAGAGACCCACCTTATAAGTATGTTTATATTTTATTTATAACACAGACACACACACATACACACATGCATGTGTGTGTGCATGTACATAGTCAAAACCAAATCAGTACTTAACCTACTGGAATGCTAATAGGTGAAAACCACTTCACATTGGACTTTATAAAAATATATTTATACTTAATTATGTGAACTATAAATTAATCTTTTTTCATCTTTGGAATACTTTTTATGAATTAATTAACCTTTTTTTTTCTTTCTTGCAGAACTGGCTAGATCCCGCAAAAGAAATAAAGAGACAACTGAGAAGTAAGTATTTAAATAGTCATACTTTCAAGTTATTAAGTTAATCTTTATATCTATTGGATTGTTAGAAGAGTTATGAGGTGTTTTTGCATAGAACCCATTGTGACTTTTCTGACGACCCGATATATGTTTCCATCATTGATAAATTCTGTAGGAATACAGCCTATAAAAGACAGTGATAGAACGATCAGTTCTGTTTCGCTTATATACATCTTAGAAGTTAATAAGACTAGTCAAGTTTTTGTAACTTTATTTTGTACACAGCTTAGAGACTTCAACCTTTTAGCAGTTTATAAACTCACATTCCTAAGTATCCACCTCACTTCACTGTGAAGTAACAACCAACCTTAGTTTCTGAGAAAGAAAAGCTGCTTTTTCATAAACTTTATTGTAGATGGACCTGATACCTTTGTTTTATCTTTCATTTTGAAAGCATATAATTAGTTTAATAGACAAGCATCTTTTTGGCCTGACAGGCATATAGGTGTGCTTTCACAGATGTATTGGAGTGAGGATTCTGGGAATGGAAAAGAAAATGGAACTGTCTTCTCACTACTGAGAGGTCATTGCTGTCTCTGATCCCCAGGGCTACTTGAGGAGCTCTTTGAGTCTGGGTTTGTAATTAGGCTCACTTGTCTATTTCTTTCTTTTTAAAAATTAATTAAATTCCATTTATTATTATTTTCATCATCATTATTTTTTTGGAGCGGTTTATGCTATAGGGCACATGCACTCGCCAGAAAGTGAGAAATCATCCCCCAGGGGGGATGGCCATGCTGCAATCCCTTGCCCATTCTCCTCTTGGGATCTTGGGCACACACGCACACCCGCCTGGCGTGAGTTTAATCACTGGGTTCGGGATACCAACCACAGTTGACTATAATGGGAGGTCAGCGACATAGCCATTACGCCAACTGCTGGCTCCAGTTATTTTTTAATTTGACCAGACAGAGAGAGAAAGAGAGATAGAGGAAGTGAGAAAGGAAGCCGGCAGATCTGGAACTTGACCCACCATCAGCCATGTGGGAATCTAGCACCTTTAACCACAACGCCACCTGCCAGCCCCTCGCTTGTCCATTTCTCCCCGTTTCCCCGTTTGTTTTCTTTGTAGAATCCCCAAACGATTTCAGATGTCCTACTCTAACTAGCTGCAGTCGCTTTGGTGCGGTCTTCCTCTGCCGGCTGCCATGCCTGTGGCTGGCTCTGTGTTACGTGTGCCAAGGACTGTTGCCCTGCACAGACCTCTCTGATAGGAGACGTGGTACTGCGTTCACTTCAGAGTCTCTGAGTGACTGAAGCAGGGAAGGTAGAAAGCCATGAGCAGCTGGAATTTTCAGACTGGAGAACAAAATCTAAAGGTGTTAGATTCCTAGACCGTGGGCCCTAGTGCTATCCAGGGAAAAAAAACATTTCTTTGGGTGCCAACCTGCAAAATGCCCTTTATACTGTTGTTTTCATTTCCGTACTTATTTATTATACCTACGGTCAAATACTAGAAGAAATTCATGCTTTTCCTTCTCATCCTTTCCTTCTCTCTTCAGTCTCCCATTTTAGGTTCTTCACATTTGTTTTCATTTTTATTTCCTTTTTTTTCTATCTTGAATTATTAATCACTTTGGTAGTTTTCCTGTCATTGCTGTCTGTCTCTTCCCCCACCCACAGTGCATATTTTTCTCATTTCCTCTTCTTGTAGTTACCTTTTTTTTTCTTTAAAAAAATGCTTTTGATTAGAATAATTGATCTTGATTTGCCCAGGACTCCGAGGTTTCAGGATATGGGACATTGAGTGCTGATGCTGGAACAGTCCTGGGCGGTCTGGCATGGTGGGTCACCCTGTCTTTGGAACATTTCTTCAGTGTTCATTTCCTCCTCCCTCCCTCTCTCTGTGCATTTATTATCGTGGTGTTTCATCCACTTCTGTTTGCTTCATGCTGGAGAAAGGGAGAAGGCTAAGTAGACATGAAAACATTATGCTGACATTATGGGAGAAGCTGTACTGGAAAGCTTTGGCTCTTTTCCCCTTGGTCTCTTCCGCAGTCGTTACATGATTTGCAAAGTGCTTGAAATCAAAAAGGTCCAGACAGCTAGGTCGTATACTTTCTCTGAAATCAGATCTGCCAAGTGACCAGAACAGAGAGAACAGGGCAACCTCTGAACCATGATTGATGCTCCATTGGGTTGTTTCCTATTGCTCTTGTTTGGTTATTTTTGTGTGCCAATCATTTCAGAGTCATGGATAGGTCCTAACTTTTGGAAGGCTAGACTCTTGCTGATTATAATCACATTCTTATGTTTTGATAATTTGTGAAGTTATTAAGAGTTATTTCAGTTCTTTGGCCCTTGTGGTTTGGCAAGAGGAATAACAGTAACAAATAGGATTTGACTTTTTTTAAACTATTGAAGCCAGGTTTTTAAAGGGCACCCTGTACTCCTGTTATGAATGTAGGATAAGGAAATGAAGTTTCAGCTGTTGTATTTCTTTTTCCTAATGCTTGTGTTAAAATGGACCAAAGAACTACTTTTTCAATATTAATATTAACCCAGTTTCTGCTACGATTTTATTGTTACTTTTCAGTTAGTGGACAACTGACAAAGATAAACTTTATTTATTTATTTATTTATTTATTTTACTTTCCCAATGACCTAATGGCTTCTTCAAAATTGCTTTAAAAATCTATTTCCCCCCGCATATAGACAAGTAAGACTATATAATGATTGCATATGGTTAATATATGAACAGTCTATAGTTAGAAGGATGATTTACATATTCTTTGGTTAAAAACAAAATAATTATAATAAAGGACCAGCAGATGGTGTAATGGCTACATCGTTGAACTCCCATGTAGTCGACTGTAGTTTGAGACCTGGGCCTGGTGGTTTAAACTCACGCTGGGCACGTGTGCGTGTGTGCCCAAGACCTCAAGAGGAGACTGGAGGAGAAGGAATTGCGGTGTGACCCTCCCCCTGGGAGGTGGTTTCTTGCTTTCTGTTTCTCTTTCTCTTTCTGGTGAGCACACGCACCCTATAGCAAAAACCTCTCCAAAAATAAATAAATAATTGTAATAATACATAATTAAAACTTTAACTTGAGGGCCAGCAGGTGGCATGCAGGTTAAGGCACTGAATCCTACATGGCTGACTCCACGATTTGAATACTGGACCTGGTGACTTGAAAATCATGTCAGCTGCATGTCCGTGCCTGTCCAGAATCCCAAGAGGGGGATTGGAGAAGGGACTGTGTATGGCCATCCCTTGGCAGGGGGTGGGGTGATTTCTCCCTTTCCCTTCCTCTCTCTCTGGCAGTCATATATAGCCTATAGCAGAGAAACTAAAAAACAAAATTTAGCTTGAGAATTGTTAAGAGATTAGATTTTTAAAGATTCTTACAACACACAAAAAAGAATGTGAGGTAACACCCGTGTTAATTAGCTTGGGATAGTCATTCCACAGTCCTGTGATGACTGCTTTATTATGGTTTGGCACTCACCCCAGAAGTCACCCAGAGGTGTGTATGCGTATATAATGCATGAGGTTTTGACAGTCTGCATGGTGCTACAAGCCAAGAAAAATCACATCTCTTGATAGTCAGAAAAATGTTATGTTCTATTATGTTTTAAATGTGTATAGCAGACCTGAATCTGTTTTTAAGTTCATCAAGATTGACTTAATTAGTAGAATTAGTGATGTATTGAACTCAAGCCCAGCATAACTGTGTGTGTGTACACAATAGGTATTTGGTAAATATTACTTTAGAGCGAGAGAAAAGGTTGTGGTGAGAAAAAGTGCACATTGACATACTGAACAAGAGGATGGGACCCACAATACTTTCTTTCAAATTCAAAAATTAAAGACCTTAATACCAGCAGATGGCATAATGGTTAGGTTGCTTGACCTTCATATAGTAGACCACGGTTCAAGTCCTGGACCTGGTGACTTAAAACTCATGCCGGGCACGTGTGCATGTGTGCCCAAAATCCTGAAAGGAGAATGGAGGAGAAAGGATCACGGTGTGGCCATCGCTCTTAGGGGATGATTTCTTGCTTTATGTCTCCCTCTCGGATGCACACATCCTATAACAAAAATTTCTCTGAGATTTAAACAAATCTGTTAAAACAAATTTCAGTGCACGCATCTTATAGCAAAAATTTCTCTTAAAAAATGAAAGACTCCATGAGTCCTTCATATATGTGTAAAAGGGAGTAACTTATAGTTTTTCAGTTCTTACTTAAAAGCACTATGTATGGACTTTGAGTGTAAGTCTAAATTTGGACTAGTAGAATTATGTAGATTCCTTTAGGAAAAGGAATCTTTATTGTGGCTTTTTTTTTTTAAGCTGTTCCCCCCCCATAGGGTGCATATTCTTACCAAAGAGAGGTATCAGACAGAGTGAAAGTGAGAAATTACCCCGAGGACAGATGGCCATGCTGCAATCCGTTCTCCTCTGTTCTCCTGTGGGGATTTTGGGCGCACACTCACATGTGCCTGGCATAATTTTCAAGCCACCAGGTCTGGAACTTAAACCACCATCAGCTGTGTGGGAGTCCGGTGCCTTAACCACCACGCCACCTACTGGCCCTTCTAGCTTTTTCTAAAACCATCTAAAACATGGTATACCAAAAAGATCAGTTAAACATAATGTGTTAACAGCCATGTTTTAACTTTAAATAAGTCATTCTATGACATGGCTGTTTGATATATTCATTTTCATACAGTACAGTGTAGCAAAGGATGTTCATACACTTATGTCTACTTTATAAAGCTCAGGTAATTATTGTCTTAAAGTTTTATAAAGTTTTATCATACATTCCCTTCCTTGGAATTTAACACTTCCTTCAAATAGTTCATTAATCAGTTCCTGAATAGTTGTTATGATCACTTGATCAAATCTAGAAACAATCGATCAAATCTAAAAATCCTGAAATGCTTTGTTTTATACGTATTGAGAATGTTTGGCAGCTGAAGATCCCATGGTTAAAACAAATCTCAGAGCTATTACATGGAGGTTATATAAAATTATTTTGCATAGTAATTCACCATATAAAACATTTGTTGAAGTACTGGTAATTTTTAAAATTATTTATTTAATTCTATTTATTTATTCATTTATTTTAATTTGACTAGAGAGAGACAGGGCGGGGGGGGGGGGGGGGGTAGTAAGAAAGCAAGCCACCGGGTCTGGGACTCGAACCGTGGTCAGCCATGTGGGAGTGTCTAGCACCTTAACCACCATTCCACCTACTGGACCCTGAAGAACCAATAAATGTCAATAAAAAGTGAACAAATTATTCTTTAATGGTGAGCTATTCATGTATTGATTTTTGTTTTTCATTTTGTTTTGTAAATAATACTTTTTCTTAAGTCAGCAAATACAACTGTAGATTGATTAATAATAGAATTAGTCTGTGTCATTTAACATTTACTTTCCAGTATTATCAAAATAGTTACTTTTTTTTTTTTTTTGGAGAGATTTTCACTGTAGGGCGCATGCGCTCGCCAGACAGACAGAGAGAGACATAGAGACAGAAAGCGAGAAATCACCCCCCAGGGGGGATGGTCATGCCGCAATCCCTTCTCCTCCATTCTCCTCTCGGGATCTTGGGCACACACACAAACGCGCCCGGCGTGAGTTTTAAGCCACCGGGTCCGGGACACGAACCACGGCCGACTACATGGGAGTCCAGCAACATAGCCATTACGCTAACTGCTGGTTCCCTCAAAATAGTTACTTTTTTGTTTGAGGAAATAACCATGATATTTAATAATTACAGGTCTTCCATGGCTGTTCACTTTCAATGTGAAGTTTTATCCTCCTGATCCTTCTCAATTAACTGAAGATATCACCAGGTATTTTATATTTGTCTTTTAAAATGAGCCTCACATTAATAGCTCTCATTTATTTCTGTGCCCTGGAAAGTTGTAATGTCAAAACTATTAATAGTTTTTGTTTTAGATGTTTCCTTGGAAATGGGTACTCTCACATCATTTGGGATGTTGCTTGTTTCAAATATTTTTTTCACTTTTCTTTAATTTCTTTATTTATACTCAAGTGATGGAAATTAAAAAATATTAATGACAACTATGTTTCCTATATTATGAAGCGTGACTGATATTTAATATTATAGTTTGAATACTAAGAGGAATTTTATTGTATAACCTTTATGAGCCTGTGCACTAGGTCATATTATGCAGATATGTAAGTGTAGGACAATGAAGTTACTTTTAGAAGTCAAATGAACTGGTAGTTTTAAATTTTTTGGTCCTTTTTAGCTCCTTCTACCTCCTCCCGCCCCTGCGAAAAAACCTTAGCAAGGCAGGCTTTCTTAATGTAGAGTCAATAGGCGTTTCATTTCCATCTCCTCTTAGACTGTGTGAGCTATAAGAATATATACTTAAATTGCAAATAAAGAATTTGGTTTAGGAGTAAGAAAACCTTACCAGTGTTTGAGTGGTAACCAATAATCCCTTGATGTCCTAGGCCTCCTACTAGACAGTGTAGCTGTACTGGGACTTCTTAGCTTCGTAAGAGTAGTTGTAAAGGGTGCTTTTTATGTCCTTTTAAAAGGTTATTTACAAGGGTGAGAAAAACTGTATGCAATATATTTACTTTTAGAAAACTAGAGGGTCTTAATGAAAGACTGTTTATTTCTGGTTTTCAGGCCCTGCATGCTTTCTTCTAGGTCAGTTTTGTTGTCAGACATCAAGTTGTGTAGGTGCTTAAAGGAATGCATAATGTCCATGTGAAGTAGGAATATTGGATATTTTTAAATATTGGATGATTGCCAGGTCTATTTTTTTTTTTCTTTACTACTCACTGCTGAATAGCAGTGTACGAACTAAGCTCTGAACGAATTAACATCAGCTAGTAAATAATAAATAAATAGTAGCTTTTGTAACTGCACAGTGAGCTGCTCAGGGACTAAAACCTGACTGGCTGGCACAGTGGAGAACACAGAGCTTCACTGCAGGAGTGCCTTGAACAGAGCAGGTAATTGGGGCTTAGTGACCCAATGCCCTCTCCCTATATACACTCCTTTTTGCCATATTGGTTTGGGGTTGATAATCCTTTGGTGATTACAACTTTATGGCATCAGTGAGTGCTTCGGTTTTCCGTGTAAATAGGGTCTGAACAGCCTCCATGTCTGTACTGGGAATAATGATATAGTCTGCTGAGCTAACTAAAGGTGTCAGTGAGTGAGACCAGCCACCTGCCTGTACTTGTGGCTTGGCAGCCTAACTGTTGTGATTGAAATTTTCACTATGGCTTCAGTGAACATTTCGAAGGTGGCAGGGGGCAAGGCTTTTGAGGAGGACACAGACACTAGTTAGAATGATGTTTGAGGAATCCTTTGTCATTTAACCTTATTGTAATTCTTAGCTAGTTCCAATATCTTTTCACCATCAATTTAGTGTGTGTAAAGATGGAGTTGGGAAATTCCGGAAGTTCTTGCCAGTTCTATGTGAAGTGGTTAGGGCTTGGACTTAGACTTTGAAAACAAAGGGAAGGACCAACTGAAAAGTAGAAACAATAATGTAAAACAAAACAAAATAGCAAGATGGAAACTTTGTGTATGGGTTCGAAAAGAGCCAAAAGCTGTGGGGAACTAGAGATATTATTGATTAGAGGATTTAAAGGTAACCTTGAATCATAGTTTAAAATTCAGTGTTCTGAAATAAGTGCATTTGCACTTATGTTATTCTTCAGGTTAGGAACACATACTCCTCCTTAATAAGAGCACTGCCTCACTGCATTAAAAATACCCAGACTAGGGGCCAGCAGGCGGTGTAGTGGTTACGGTTCTGGACTCCCCTGGGGCTGACCAAACATGGTAGCTTCAAAGTCACACTGGGCGAGTGTGTGTCATGTGCCTGAAATCCCAGGAGGAGAATGGAGGAGGAAAGATTGAGGCACGGTCCTTCTCAGGGATGATTCCTCATTTTCCTTGTCACTGTCTCTTTTTCTGGAGAGTGCATTTGCCCTATGACAAAAACCTTAAAAACAAAAATAAAAACAACAAAAAAGTCCAGACGGTAGTGATAGTGAGATGACTTTGATTCTCTCCAGTTACTGAGCTCTTGCTGTGTGACAAGCTTGTCCTTTGCTGACTGTGGGCTTGGGATGATGATGGATAGAGTTGCTACTCTGCCTGATGATAGCTGGGGGTGGTACTCCAGGGATCGCTGAACTGAAGTGGAACCATGTGCATGGACATGCTTTCTGCCCTGAAAACAATGAGGTCTGGAGCAGAGGCTGGCACTGCTATTTGATCATTTGGGGTAGGGAGAAGAGGATTGGGCCCTAAATCCCAGACCAAGCAGAAATATCCACAGGAAGAAGTTGGCCAGCTACCAGTGGGAATGGCAGTTCCTAAAGGAGCTCCAAGAAGAAGAGCACCAGTCCTTTATTCCAGAAGGGCTGGCCATCTGCCCTGCTCTTTTCTGACTCATGTCCTCTCGGGGAAGTCTCAGGCAGAACTTGGAGACTGTGACCCAGAAGAGCATGGCAGTGTTGACCTCAGTGACCTTCCTAAGTGATCTTAGAGAGTAGAAATGAAGTTTTAAAATGTCACCAAAAGAGATCAATGATAGGGACTAAAAAAAGAAATCCCTGAGTATAGAAATTAGTTGTATTGGAGTGTTATTTAGTGGAAAACAAATTCTTTTACATGTAATAAGCTACTTTAGAACATTAAATATTGATAAAAATAACAACCATAACTCTTATGCTAATAAGTATAACTATCAGTTATTAATTCTCATGTACCATGCCGCGTGTTTTATTTATATTATCTAATTTTTGGTCTCACCTTCAAAGGGAGGTAGAGTTTTTCCCACCTGGCTAGTAGGACGTTGGGCAAATAAATGGATTTGCTTATAGTCACAAGGAGTAAGCTCCAAAACCCATGCTTTTTATTTTTTTGCCTCTAAACTGGGCTAGCTGCCTCTTTAGATGAGGATAGTGGGTAAGGGCTACAAAGTAGAGATTTACTTACAATTGTTGTAAAAGGTATTTCAGAAAAAGAAGAAATTAGTACGAAGTGTAGAGATGATAGAGGGTGGGTGATGTTAGCTTTTCTTGTAGATCGATTGCAGTTACTATTGTTATTTTTTAAGTTTTGCTACAGGATGCATGCACTTGCTAGAGATAGGAGAGAGAGGGGAAAATGAGAAATCATCTCCCAGGAGAATGGACACATCATAACCCCTTCTACCCTACTCTCCTCTCGGGATTTTGAGCATGCATGTGCAAATGCCTGATGTGTGATTTTTTAACCCGCCAGGACTTGAACTGTGCAGTTGGTCATGTGGAATCCAGCTGCCTTAGCCAACATGCCAATGGTTGACTCTCACTGCAGTAATTTTTAAAAGTTCATTAATCTTTACAGCTTTTGAGGCATGTGCTAATTTTTGCCATAGTTTTAAATCCAAGGAGACAGTTTAAATGAATTTTGACTTCAGTCACAAAACTCTTCAGTGTAATAGTGATGATAGACTAAATATCACCAGCATAGCACTTCAGAGTTTCCATCCCGTATTAGCCCTCTGGATTCAGTTTTTTGAATAAGTCATGAGGTTAGTTAGCAGTCCAAGGCCTGAGTCCAGTCCAGTCTTCCTAGAGAAGACTATTTTTGTTATAATGAGGTTTATAGCTTATTTGCTTTTAAAGAATATTAGAATGTCAGGTTTATGAGAACTATATAATCTTGACCTTTTCCTCCTTTTGCTCTTCACAGATACTTTCTGTGCCTTCAGCTCCGGCAAGACATTGCCTCTGGCCGTCTGCCCTGTTCTTTTGTAACTCATGCCTTCTTGGGATCCTACACGCTGCAGGCTGAACTTGGAGACTATGACCCAGAAGAGCATGGCAGCATTGACCTCAGTGACTTCCAGTTCGCCCCTACACAGACTAGGGAGCTGGAAGAGAAGGTGGCAGAGCTACATAAAACCCACAGGTCTGTTACCTTGCTTACTGGATTGAGAATGGCCATGGAAGATTATATGGCTTTTCTTTTAATACTTCCTAGATATTTGAGCTCAGTTTATGGGATTATCCAATTGTCCTTTTGAAACTTCACCTGGAACTGATCAAGACAGTCTGTAGCCCTTGAGATATCCTTTCATTGTCTTTAAGACCATACCCCGAGGAACTGTGTTTATGATAGTAAATGCTTTCATTTATTGGAAACATGTACTTTTTCTCGTGCTATCTTCCTTATCTCTATTCCTCCAGTCCCATTCCTTAATACACACACACACACACACCCCAAGCATATCCACATACTTGTTTGGCATTTATTTTATATTTCTTCTTCCTTTTAATGGTTTTTATTACTATGTTTAATAAGGAAGCCATGGAGATAGTGAGGCATCAGGATTTGAATCAGAAATGTGAGTAGTGATGAGTGTGATAGATGAAAGGTATCAGTGATTCTACTGTCTATTGAATATGGATGGCCTTTTGGTTTACTAAAGATTACTTAAGTTACTTTAATACTATGTTATGCTTTGAGAATCTTTATATCTGTGTGAAAAATGGATTTTTTATACATTTTTATAACTTTATCTGATCCACATTGCAAAGTATAGTTTTATAAAACTTTAAAATGATTTGAAGGGACTGTAAGAGATTAGAAGATTTTTGAATAATCCATATTCATTGACTTTCTTTAAATTGTAAGTGCAATATTTGGTTCTAAATATTGGGTTGTTGGGAAAGTCATGACATTTTTTTTTTTTGGAGAGGTTTTTGCTATAGGGCGCGTGTGCTCGCCAGACAGACAGAGAGAGACAGAGAGACAGAAAGCGAGAAATCATCCCCCTAGGGGGGATGGCCACGCCGCAGTCCCTTCTCCATTCTCCTCTCGGGATCTTGCGCACGCATGCACACGTGCCCGGCGTGAGTTTTAAGCCACTGGGTCCGGGACGCGAACCGTGGTTGACTACATGGGAGTCCAGCGACATAGCCATTACGCTAACTGCTGGCTCCCCATGACATGTTTTTGTCTAGAAAAATACATCATGACTTTCTCGACAACCTAATATTTTATGAACTTTATTTAAAATCTACTCAACAGACATTTATTGTATAATTCTAATCTGAAGTGTCAGATATTAGGATGTCATGGAGAATGTGAAGATTAATGAGGCAAGTTTCCTTTCTCTAAAAACTTAAAACATGTAGTTGGGAGCAAAGATAAGAATGGAAGGGATTTTAATATGGAAGAATTTGACATGTGTTATTGTAAGTGTAAAATACAAGTAATTCTGATCTTTATTATGACCAATCTTAGTGAAATAAATCAAAGAGTAAGAATTTGTGTATCCCAGAAAGATAAAATCACTTTTTTATTTTCAGTTAACTTATGGTGTACATTTTATTTTGGGGGTCTCTTTTTTTTTCCCTGGTGAAAGTAATCAAAAGCACTTTTTTAAAATGAAAAATGGCAAGGGTAGAGGAATATCTCCTTGCAGTTAGCAGGTTTAGATTAGAGGATCTTAAGAGAAAAATGCTAGAGATTGAGAGTTGAATCTTTTACCTGCTTTCTTCTTTTCTGCAGATTTAGCTTGATTATTCCTTCTACCCTAAACTCTTCAATCTCACAGACTCTGTCCTCCCTTTGACCTCATTGGCTTTGCATCCACTGATAATACCGTTTCTTTTGATTTTCAGGGGCTTATCGCCGGCACAAGCAGATTCTCAGTTCTTAGAAAATGCAAAGAGGCTTTCCATGTATGGTGTTGACCTGCATCATGCCAAGGTACTGTGAATGTCATGGGAGGTAGAATCTTTCCTGTATATTGACTAAAGTTTGGAGAGGGCCCACGTTTCAGAACAGCCCAGTTTACTTTGGGAGCAAAGGCTACTTGCCTTCACTTGAAGGGTCTCTTTGGTGACTACTTGTGGGGTTTATGATTGTAGAAGGGATTATTTATTGTCATAGTCCTTCGCAAGCATGCAGGGGTAAAAGGAACATGGATGTGACCACCTTCCAAAAAGCTTCTGAGCTGTGAAGGACTTGGGCTTTATTTTTCCTGTAGATGTGTTTTGACTTTGTGAAAGATAAAGTAGGTTGGCCTAGGCTTCAGGAAATGAAGTGCCATCAGTTGAATTAGAGACGTAGTAAAAGACTAGAACTAGGGATATGTGATAGAGTGGGTTTGGGAGGAGCAGGCCAGTAACATGCATCACCTACTTCATGATTCTAGTTTAAGTGAACACATGTCGAAGAGAATCAAGGAGGAGAATGAGAGGCCAGATGAAAGATGGATTGATTTTGAAAAATATGTCCAGTGTCAACTCATCATGCTAAGGGAACCCTTGGTAGTCTGCTTTTCAAAGATCTTGCCAATCCTTCAATTTGGGCAATAGGAAGTCCAGATGATATGATTTGATAAATTTCAATGAAGGCCCCCACTCAAAAATATCTTCTCTCTATAGACCTCAGATTAATAATTCTTGCTTTTGTGTTATTAATCACGCTTCATATTTGCAAAGCACTCTCCTTCTTAGGAACTAACTTTATCTTTGAGTATTTGTCCTTACTACAAAAGAAATACATGTTCATCATAGAAAATAAAGGCACACAGAAGAAAATATCATGTAAGTCTCTTTATGCAGAAATAAGCACTATTTGCATGTAGTCAGACAGACAGGGTCTTGCTATTGTGATCCTCATGCCTCAACTTTCCCTAGTCACTGGGTTTACAAGTGCATACCACCATGCCAGGCCTCATGTTGGACCAAGAACCTGAACCTCCCATATTGGTCCTAGTCTGTGCTGCACAGCATCATAATAGGGCTTGCTACCACAGCTGGGTCAGCACTGTTAATATTTTGATACATTTTCTTTTGAAAAACTCTGTGAGCAGTTGAATTATCATGCCTTTTGCCTTTTTTTTATAAAAATTATTTTATTTAACTTTATCCATTTATTTATTTTTTAATTTTATCAGAGAGGGACAGAGTGTGAGAGGAAAAAGGGAGAGTGAGAACACAAGCCAGCAGGTCTGGGATTTCAATCATAGTCCGCCATGTGGGAATCCAGTGCCTTAAACCACCACGCCATCTGCCGGCCCCTTTCATGCCTTTTTAAAGAAGGGATCATACTAACAGCATCCTTTTGTTAGTTTATTTATTTATTTATTTGAGAGATTTTTGCTAACTGGTGTGTGTGCTGGCCAGAGAGACAGAGAAAGTGAGAAATCACCATGGGGGTGGGGAGTAGTAGCCATGTTGCAATCCCTTGGCCTCCATTCTTCTCTTGGGATTTTGGACATGCACGCACATGTTTCCAGTATGAGTTTCAAACTGCCGGGTCTGAGACTTGAACTGTTGTCAGCCATGTGGAAGTCCAGTGCTTTAACCACTATGCCACCTGCTGGGCTTTTGTTAGATTTTTAAAAACTTGCTATTAGAAACAGCTTTCCATATCATTAAACAGTCTTCTAATAGCATCATTTTTAACTGCTCCATGCTGTATGCCTTGAATTTTAAAAGTTCTTTTACATACACCATCTCATTTGAAATGTGAATGTTTTGATTTTATGACTATGTGAAATGGTGCAGAGAATGACTTACTTATAGCCTCTTATGACTAAGCAAGTCTTATCTGCCTCATTTCTTTTGATATATCCTACTAGGAGGTGAAACTGATCTTCCTGACACTACAGTGTTTTTTTTTCTTAGCTCTTTCTGTATGATGAGAACAGGCTGGATTTTTTTGTTCGTTTGTTTCTTTTATTATTATCATCATAATCTTTTTTTATTTACATTTTTATTTCATTTTCTTTTATACATTCAATCACATTATTTAGCTTACAAAGTGAATATTTCAACATGTGAACATTTCTCCCTAGTCCAGTTGATAAAACTATAAAATATCTTCAACAGATAATACAACATGTCTTTGTCTCATTAATGCTTTCCTCTCTATTTTTCTTCTAAATATCCTTCCTCAGACCCTACTCTCTCACACACACTGTATCTGGTATTTACATGCATTTACTGTGTTTCTATATCCTTTAGTCAATCAGTTTCAGTCAGAGTGTGGACACTCAGTATATATTAAGTGGAGACATACAATGTCTCTTCTTCATAACCTGGCTTGCTTCACTCAGCAGTAAATCTTCCATATTTTTCCACTTTCTGTCAAAAGCCAGTTTTTTTTTTTTCTTTTAATGGCTAAATAGTACTCTACAGAGTATAAATGCCACAATTTTTCAATCCATTCATCTGTTCATTACATTTGGGGTTGGTTCCATGTCTTAGCAATTGTGAATAGTGTCGCAGTAAACATCGATGTGCAAGCACTTTTCCGATTAAGAATTCTTCTGTCCTTTGGGTAGATACCAAGGAGTGGGATTGCTGGAGCATATGGTAGTTCTATGTGTAGATTTTTGAGGAATCTCCAAATTGTTCTCCACAGTGGTTGGACCAATTTACATTCCTACCAGCAGTGTAGGAGAGTTCCTCTTTCACCCCACTCCCACCAGCACTGATGTTTTTTGTTTTTTGTTTTTGTTGTTTTTTTTTTTTTTTTTTTTTTAAATTTTTTTTTTTTAGGTGGTATCTCATTGTTGTTTTGATCTGCATTTCCCCTTACAATGAGGGATGTTGAGCACTTTTTCGTATGCCTTTTGGCTATTCGTATGTCATCTTTAGAGAGTGGTATTTCCAACTCATTCTCCCATCCTTTAATAGGGTTGATCATCTTTTTTTGGAACAGCTGCTCGAGTTCCTTGTGTATTCTGGTTATCAGTCCCTTATCTCACCCATACTTTACAAAAATATTTTCCCATTCTGAGGGCTTTTGATTCACACTAATTATTGTGTCTTTTGCCATGCAGAAACTTCTTAGTCTGATATAGTCCCACTTGTCTATTTTTGGGATTATTGACTGTGCCTTCGGGGTCTTATTTAAGAAGTCTTCCCTATCCTAATATCTCTTAGAGTTTCCCCAGTGTTTTTCAGGAGCAGTTTTATAGATCGTTATCTTTTTTATATTACTTTGAATCACATATATCTTTATAGTGTATTACATTTTTTTTCCCAACAGGATTACCGTGCATATCAGTCAGTCAAGAAAAAGACATTACTATACACATCATCAAATAGCTTTTCATCATTTTTTTAGATTATTATTATTTATTCTCATTTTTTAAACATTTAATTACTATATATCATTCGGTTTATAAAAAGAATTTACTTACCATGAAATACTTCTCAGATTAGTCCAGTTGAGAATGCTATACATGTTATCATCAACAGGTAATAAACTGTTTCTATGTCCCACTAATATCATGCCTCTCTATTTGTTCTCTTGCTATCCTCCTCTATACTCTTCCCTTCTTATGCCCCATTCCACATTGTCTTCAGCATCCATAACTATTTTCACTGTTTTTATGTCCTCCAGTATTTCAATCTCTACCATAAAGCGTGGATAATCTCTCTATATTAAGTGGATACATACAATAACTTTCTTTCACATCCTGGCTTTGCTCAGCAATAGATCCTCCGTATTTGATCACTTTCTATCAAATGCCAGGGTCTTGTTGTTTTTTATGACTGAGTAGTATTCCATAGAGTATATGTGCCACACTTTTTCAATCCATTCATCTGTTTGTGAGCATTCAGGTTGGTTCCATGTCTTAATGATTGTGAATAATGTTGCAATAAACATTGATGTGCAAATGCTTTTCTGACTGAGCATTCTCCTATCCTTTGTGTAAATACTCAGAAGTGGGATTGCTGGATCAAATGGTAGTTCTATTTGTAGATCTTTGAGGAATCTCCATATTGTTTTCCACAGTGGCTGAACCAGTTTACATTCCCACCAACAGTTAGGAGGGTTCTCCTTTCACCACATCCCTGCCATCAGTTATCACTTTTTGTATTTTTAGTCTTTGCCATTCTGACAGGAGTTAGGTGGTATCTCATCGTGGTTTTAATCTGCATCTCCCTTATGATGAGGGATGTTGAACATTTCCTCATATATTTACTGCCTGTTCACATGTCTTCCTTAGAGAGATTTTTGTTCAGCTCATTTTCCCATTTTTAAATTGGGCTAATCATTTTTTTACTAAGCTGCTTGAGTTCCTTGTGAAATCTGGTTATCAGTCCCTTGTCTAGGCATATTTTACAAAAATATTCTTCTATTCTGAGGGTTGTCAATTCATACTTGTTACTGTGTCCTTTGCTGTGCAGAAACTTCTTAGTCTGATATAGTCCCACTTGTCTATTTTTGGGATTATTGACTGTGCCTTCGGGGTCTTATTTAAGAAGTCTTCCCTATCCTAATATCTCTTAGAGTTTCCCCAGTGTTTTTCAGGAGCAGTTTTATAGATCGTTATCTTTTTTATATTACTTTGAATCACATATATCTTTATAGTGTATTACATTTTTTTTCCCAACAGGATTACCGTGCATATCAGTCAGTCAAGAAAAAGACATTACTATACACATCATCAAATAGCTTTTCATCATTTTTTTAGATTATTATTATTTATTCTCATTTTTTAAACATTTAATTACTATATATCATTCGGTTTATAAAAAGAATTTACTTACCATGAAATACTTCTCAGATTAGTCCAGTTGAGAATGCTATACATGTTATCATCAACAGGTAATAAACTGTTTCTATGTCCCACTAATATCATGCCTCTCTATTTGTTCTCTTGCTATCCTCCTCTATACTCTTCCCTTCTTATGCCCCATTCCACATTGTCTTCAGCATCCATAACTATTTTCACTGTTTTTATGTCCTCCAGTATTTCAATCTCTACCATAAAGCGTGGATAATGGAATTGTGTTAAATATATAGATTAACTTGGGTATAATTGCCATTTTGATTATGTTAATTCTTCCAATCAAGGAAAATGGGAGTCCTTCTACTTTTTTTGGGACATGCTGGATTAACCAAGAAACAGAAGTAAGGGAGGGAGGAGGGAACAGGTGTGGGACCAAAAAGATCTCCTAAGCCCATTTCTGCCTCAACCCAGTTAGTTACTCTTACCACATGTAAATCTTGGATCTTCCTACTTTTTGTTCATGAGTTGGAAATCAATTCTCAGATGGCATTACTGGAAGGTTTTAGGATTCTAGTTTGTTGATGTCATGTCTTAGAATGTAAAAAGTTGTAGGCTCCATTAATGTATAATGTCAGTTCTTGTTGTAACGTGTGGAGCAGAATACTTTAAACAAAATTCAAAGTAACATTTACTGATTTATTTATCATCTCATAGAAACTCTGGTATTATTTGATAAGCAATACATTTGTAACTCATTGAAAAGTATATATGTAGCCATTTAAAAAACTTTCACATAGTTTAGTTTTGTGCCTCTAAATATTTTTCTTTGCCTTGAAAGGAGGCATTTTCCTTCTGTCTTCCTCTTCTGTCTTCTTCCTTTTTTCTTTATTAGAATAGTTCTTAATGGCACACTCATGTTAGGACAAGTTGAAGAGTATTAAGTAGAAGTTTTCTCTACAAAGGTGTAGGGATAGTATGATACTCCCAAGCTAATAAGTAATAGCAGCACTCTTAACCCCGTAACCCCTCAAGGGGGCAAGGGCAGAGGGTGGTTGTCAGAACCTGAGGGAGTGATCTGTGTGGAGAGGGCTGTCTCAACAGGAGCCATCATCAGGGAAACAGCCAACCTGATGAGACCACACAGAAATGGTATCTCTCCTCTCCTTGGTTTATAGCTGGAACTTTTTATATGTTGGACCCATTCATAAACCATTGGCTACTGGGTCCTATTAGTTTCCATATGGGGTGAAGGCAGAACAGGTATTCTTTCTATTTGCTCATTTTTAAAATTTTGTTGCAGAGTGTCAGAACTCAAATATGGATGATCAAGGCATTCTTTTTTCTTTTCAGTTCCTATCCTTTATATTATATTCTATAAATAATGATAATTCTAAAACAATTAGGTGGAACAACCAAAAATAACCCAATTTACTTGAATCTGGGTTGTTTATTTTTACGTCAGATAAAATAGCTTCCTTGTTCTGTCAGATTGCTGCAGACTAGAGATGGCTTTGTTCAATGTTGCGAGTGAAAGTTGCCTTCTTGCTTGTAGTGAGAACACACTGTCCTGGCCATCTTCTGCCTTGTTCCCTGTGGCCGTGGGCAGTGATGGTTTTGGCAAACACACCCTTTAGTCTTGTGCCAAGTTGCTTGGGCACCTGTGCCTGATTCATCCCAGTTTTTACTCTAATCTTAGAGCTGTGTCTGCCAAAAAGCGGTGAATAATTACCCTATAGAGTAAACTTTTAAAAAACCTGCTCAGGTTGGTCTAAAATAATTTTACTTGTATAAATGAATGAAATGAGTATCTAGCAGATAAAGCATTTGACATCAGTTGCCCAGTACTATACTTTTATTTTTAAAAACTAATATTTTTAAATTCTTAACAATTTAATATTTATGACATTTGAAAATGTGATGCTTTAATTGAAATGGGACTTTAAGTATGGTGTTTGTTTCAACTTTTTTTGTGAGAATTTGTTCAGTGTCGATAATTTTTCTGAAAATGTGAGTATCTCTAAATAGTATTCAGTTTTACATATCTTAAATGACATCCAGGTATCCTCTTCAAGATAAATATTGGTTATATATTTTGAATGTTATGCATCTAGTTGCTAGCCCCTACTTGAGATGTGAGGAGATAATTTTTCACTTTTGTCTGTAAAATTTATTTGTGTTTCAGGTTAGTGATTATTCTAGGTTGTCAACTATTCCAAATTAAACCTCTATGGGAAAAAAAAAAAAAAACAACAAAAAAACAACTGTTAGTTCAAGAAAAGTCTGCAGTCTTTGCAATATGCTAGTAAAGCCATGCTTAACAAGTACTGGATGTCAACACTCTTAAGTTATTGAAAACTTGAAAGAATTCAGAGCTTTCAACAGTCAGCCTAGAAGAAAAAAAATCTGTGAGAGATTGGTGTTTTGCAAAATATAGGCCTAATTTTAATAGCTCTTAGCCTAGTATATGCCATCTGAGATAAATTTGCTCAAAATAAAATACCTGGAGGATAAGTCAACTGATTGTCCCTGAGGCTGAAATAGCTACCAGGAAAACATTTTTTTCTCCCATTTCTCCAGGATATGTACATCTAGCTCTGTTTCTTTTCCCTCTGTTAGCTCTTTCAACAAAGCTTGACAACATATGAATTATGCCTTTTGAAGAATATTGTGTCCTATAGGCATATTGCCATAACTTTTTAGTAAAATAAATCTTATCCCTGAAGATGAATAAACGTGCACATGTGCCTACTGTTTCCGTTAACTTCTGTACTGTTCTTAGAATTTAAATACAAATCTGTTAAATTGGCATTCCT